AAGGTATATGTAGTCTCACATCACAAAATGAAGTCTACACAATAGAAATCAGATCACCAAACGCATTTCGTGACAAATATCTCACTCAAACTGATGACGTAGATATCGAATTATCAAAAGTTTTTACACAATACATCAAAAGTATACAACATCAAAACTCACAAAGAGCAAACTCAACCTTCACAAACAATGTATTCTCACTTATCTATAGCTATCTATCTATATTAGAATTGAAAGAACCTCAAAGCGATTCACCAACTCAAACATCTCGACATACAACTGTACGACAAGAAATACACATATTTTCAAAATTCTTGAATGCAATCCGAGAAGATCTAACTAGTAATGACATAACACAACATGTTAAACACGATCTACAAAAAATATTAGCATGGCTCATAATCGATTATTTTAGTCATAATATTGATCTTATTGCACAAGCAAGAAAACTTTTTAGACCACAAAATACAGATGACGAAACCGTTTTAGTAGAACAATCAGATAATGATTGGGACCCTGAGTGGTGTCATGAATTATTTATTAAATACCAATAGATATATCAAGTCAAGCAATTAGCACAATCTCTATTCACAAAGATTATATTAGAGTATACCCACTTACAACTGACGCAACACCTTTAAAGTATAGTTCTTTCTTCCCTGAAAGAACAGGAGATAACAGTTTAAATTCTACTTAAGAACAAAGTGAAAATCACCCAATTTTTCAACAAAACAAAATTAATACAAACAGATACCATACCAGAATCCAACCTCCTTATTATACATCTAATTATTTTACATCAGATAATGAAGAATACTATAATCACAATCATCAACAATTTCATTCAAGCCAAAGACCCCGTTCTTACAATATTGACCAACCAGATAATTTTGGAACCATACACACGAGATGAACAAATAGGACAACCTAGAAATAATCCAACACCTTACAACAATATTTTTCAACAAGAAAACCCAGTATATACACAATCTTACCAACCAACTCAAATGCATAACGAAATCCCACTGCCATACTATTTACAACAACATGAATAACAAAAATTCAACTTACAAACATTTCTCAATTGCCAAATGCCGCAGAAATGGGTGGATCATCAATATCATCGGATAAACCACTAATGGTATTTACAGGCACAGACCCTGAATACTCTGTAGAAGATTACCTAAATGCAGACACAGCAAATTTAACTTCAAATATAGGACCAGAACCAGTAAAAACGCCAATTCATCAAAATGGATACGTAGACGCACAGCCTTAATCTAAACCACACTCGACAGCGCAGCCCAAAAATGGTTTTCAGTTTTACCTATAGAAAGAAATTCAGATTGGAAAAGATTTACACAAGAATTCTCAAAAATATTTGATTCTGAAAGAAACAAACAACACCAAAGAATTTTATGCAATGAAATTCGTAGACTACCAAATGAAATAACTAAACAACTTGCAGTAAGATTTGCAATCCTAGTCTAAAAAGCATACTCACTCAATACCCATGATTATAAAAATACAAAGATGACAGAAATCTTAATGATGACTCTAATACCTCAATTGCGGAAAATAGCAAAAAAAGAGAGAGCATTACACCCTTCCTCAATCTGAGAACCAGATTTGGACTTTAGGAAGCTAGAAGATCAGCTAGAACAAGCAGAAATCACTATGAAATTAGAATAAACAAAAAACCTAAAGCTAAAATATGTCAATAACATCCAAACCACTACTTCACAAATAAACAATTTTACCGACTCTCATACAGAATTATCTGAAAAAATCACTGGAGTCTTAAACATCTACGAGAAGAACTCAAATTTCAAAGGTGAACCAAAAAAGTGTAATTATTGCCAAAGATACGGACTCATCATTGCCGAATGCAGACAAAAACAACAAGATAATCAAAATAAACCACAAAAATATAGAGAACCAAATAAATCATTTCATCAGTACATGAAAAAAGATCAAAATTTACCCAACAAAAACATTTATAGTAATAATAGCTCAGGAAAATTACTTCCGAACAACTCAAATTACTCTAGACAACAATCCCCTTATAACCCAAATTACCGAGAACGATCACCCAATCAAAGAAATTCACGAAATTTCTCTTAAAACAGATATAGTCGATCAAACAGTCGAAATAGTCAATATCGAAATAACTATTCGAGATCACATTCTCGAAATAGATATTATTCAAATGATCGATCTAGAAACTCTTCATACAATATAAATAGAAATTATTCGAACTATAGGAATAGAGACTAAACGAATGATCGAAATAATAGATATCAAAGTAATAGATCATCAAGGCTTCCCTTGGATCTTTAAATTAAATTAAATTATATCTAAATTTCTGATCAACAAGGCTTATCCTTGAATCAAATAGAACAATTTTGTTCTCCCCTTCCCATATTTTTTAGTGTCTAACGACCTCAAACGTCGATTCACTACCCAACCCCTATTAAAGACCCAGAATTAACAGAACTTTTTCTAATAGCTAACCATTCTAATTAGGGTAAACAGTGAAGAACTTCGGTTACTCATCCTTCACTTGATTCCCCTCCTCTTAGATGGCCCAGGCTAAAACAGTTAAACTTAGCAAGTCTTAAAATAGTATCTAACGAACTACTTGCGTTCTAATTATACCTGAACCTTGTGGATCGATTTACTATTGTCCAACTCTTGATCACAAATCACAACCCACAAGTAAGATTAAGTAAGTTATCCTAATTTCGAATTATTCACGAGAAAGTAAAAATCATTCTTACGAATCGTTATACGCTTTTCTCTCCAACATAGCAAATACGACCCAAGTTAAGCTAACCACAAAAAATTGTAAAAACTAATGGTTTAAGAGATTAGAAACCACTAATCCTAATAATGCATTCATCATCCTAAACCTTATGTCAAGAGACAATTTAGGAAACAAACAAGCAATCATAATACACAAGTGTTTAATTAACGACGAAAGATACGACCTCGTAATCACACCACACAGACAAACAATAGGATACATCAGAACAAAAAGTTAAACATTAAGAAAGAAAATTGATAAAAATTAAAAACAAAATATTAGGAAACGATTTTCAAAACAAAGAACCGCAGTCTCAGAATCAGAAACAACTGCAATACAAAACTTCACAATTCAAAAAGACTCAATAAAAAAAACCATCAAATTGACGATCAAATATTTTTTACCGACTCAGAAACCACGTGTCCAGGATCAATCAAAGAAAACGTAGAACCAAAAATTGTTACACAAACAAACCAATACGTCTGTACAATTGGAATCAACTAATGAGACACATTAAAAATTACACGCTAACACTCACTTAACACAAAATTTTTTCGAAATGAGGAGAATCTAGAAGATTAAGTACTCCCATTTTTAATACATCAATTAACTGAAGCTCGAGGACAAGTACAATTTTGCCAAAATTTAATCGAAAATTTATTAGAAAAAGGAGAAAGTCCATACACAAAAGAATTTCCTGATTCCTTTTTCACCTTTAAAAAAAATTTCTTTTATTTTATTTTATTGAATTTTTTAATGTTATTACTGCTCCATAAACCTTAAAAAGGCAGTCGGAACATTCAGGGCTTTGCCCTGATACGAGCAGTCTTGTTTTCTTTTGTTAAAATAATGGCGCTGTTAAGTTTCACATTTTTTTGTTCTTTTTCTGTAAAATGAGAGCGGCGTTTTTTTTTCAAGCTCGTCTTTTGTGTTGTTTTAAGCTAATTCATCTTTGCCATATTTTTTCAATTTTCCAGCTTTTAGAAATTATTCTAATTTTTCTGTTATTTTTTTGTGTTTGAGGTCCTTTTGCGTTTGAGTTCCAATATTAAGATAAGTCAGTTTACAATTGACCTTGTTCAAACATTCACATTATGTTTATTTGACCTCCCATCCTGCAATGTCTAACTCGATGATTCAATTGCCACATTTAAAGCATCCTCTCTTGTTTGACCAGTTTCCTTCTACCGTTCCTCAAGTTTCCTTCATTGTTCCGACTTTCGATACGAAAGTAACGGAATATTTGTGATTGGGGTGGGTTTTTTTTTCTTCAGACAAATTTCGACTTTTTAACCAGCCATTTTTGACGGAATTTTTAACTGATAACGTAGATATTGAATCGGTCTCAATCGGTCTCAACCCTCCGTCTATCTTTATGAGGGCGATAAGCTTTGCGCCAAAAAAGAAAGGTCTCAGGGGCTCGGATATTTTGCCATCTCCAATGAGGTTTATCAGCTTAGTAAGTGATTTCAGAAAATTAAGTCCTGCACTGCCATTGGACTTATTAACAAGATCTTCAAAAATTTGAGGAATTATTTTATCAGGACTTGCTGCTGATCCGTTCGGAAAGGACATTATCGCTTTGTATAGGTCGAAATCGGTTACGAAAAAACTATCCAACTTTTCTGGATTTGGAGCTGCAAATTTGGCCCGCCGAGGGTGCTTAGACAACAATTTTTGATAGTTATCAGCTGATATAGGAGCAATTTTGTCATCCGAAGCAGCAAGCCTTATTCCTCCCTTTATATTTCCTTCATCGAGCTTACTACTTATTAGCTCTATTCTCTGCTCGAGATCACTAAGAGGCGGGCTTGAAACTTGGGGATGGGGTTTTGGAAGTGACACGTCATTTGCTCGAGTTTTTTTATTTATCAAAGAGCTCATGCTTGTGGTCTGTTTGCGTCCACTTCTTTTCGGTTGCTCCAAAAAACAAGAACGATGTTAAAAAAAATAAGCCATTTTGTAACATCTTCTATATTGTAGACGATGTCATTTATTTCGTCCGACAGACTTTCCGCCAAGGGAACACGCGAGTCTTTTGGTACTCTCTTGAGTACTCGGACATTTGAGATGGCTGTATTAACATAATTGTCTAGCACTAAATCATTACCTATTGTTGCTTTATTAACAGGTTTTACATATTTATTAACAGAACTAATTGTTGTGACAACAAAGCGCGTAAATCATTTGGTTTTAGAATGGGACTGTAAATATTTCGTAAATAATTAAATGGCTGGCCCTAATGCAAATGGTGAAAGTTCTGGGGCTCGGCGGAGAAAAGAGATCGAACTGACAGTTTACTACAGTCTTCCTAGAAATAGATTTCTAAATTATGTTCGACTGTTCATGATCGTGCATATATGCACTGTAGTCATCTTGTTCACGATAGGTAAGTTATAAAAAATGTGTTTTCATTAGTATCAGCAAGAAATGAGTTGAATACATTTTTAGCCACGGCAAAAACAGGACTGAGCGCTTCACTTGATTTCTCTGGGTCATTTTCGGAAATCGCCGTTGATGTTCAGCTCGTGGTCATTGCCTTGTTTCTATCATCTCTTTGCATTCACTGGAAGCTAGAATCAGTCGCCATTCAGCTTTCCGAGGAACCATTCAATTGCATTATGAGAAATCGAAGACGCGTTTTGCATTTCTTAGACACCTTCTTTTCTTCATTGGCGTTTATTTACACTACGGTGAAATGTAAGTTGCTATTCTTTTTCTGTAATGATCTGTAAACTTTTCCTCTCATTTTTAGGTACCTTAAAAAGCTAGTCGAGTGTATTAAGCGATTAGGGGTTAAGCAATTTTCAGTATCGCAAAAACCGGTCTTAATTTTGTTACTCTATCTTAGCTTCAACTTGCAGTTCTGCTTGTGCTTCAGGTGTCATCGTTTATCTGGATGATTTCAGAAATGAGGACAGTGGCAGCAATGATACTGATGATGCTCTCTGGAACAAGTACTTGATGGCTATATTGGCAGTTGTCCTTTTTGCAACGTGTTGTCACATTGTAATATCAGGTGAATAAAAACAACTGCTAAAGCACATGAATTTATACAATATTCATAATTCGGACTTTTTGAAAGATCTATCAGCAGAGCGGCAAAATTCGAAGCATTATTGGTCCGACTATTTAGGATGATTTTGTCCTGCAAAATCAGTTACATCAAGGAAAACTCGTATGGCATCGAATGTAGTACCTTATTATGGTAATTTTTAGCTGTTATTGGGATAAATTCACATACATTATTAGCAAGGGTTTTCCAAATGTGTACTGGCTTTTCTCCCATAAAAGCTATATTCTTCACCCTTGTGGTAAGAAAGGGTGTTGCCACCGGGTACAAGACTTTTTTCTTGGAAATAATTTGTTTACAGAATGATCAAATTAGAAATGGTGAGTTCACCCGTCTCATTAACCGTCTGTATTTACCATTTATCTTGGGAACATGCTTATATGGAAAACATTAGATCTTCGAGCCACCTTGCACTTTGAAAGTGGTAAATATTAGGTCAATGTGCATATTTATGTACTGTACTCCAATCCTACTTTTATCAGTAGACGATGTAACCCAGAAATGGTACGCAGACGACGGAAACGCAGTCGGTAAATTAAGCAATCTACGAACCGTCCTCGAAAAAAATATATCACTGGGTAAATTTTCCGGCTACCACGTGAAAGCATCCAAATGCCAACTCATTGTCAAGGATGAAAAACTCGGTGAAGCTCAGAAAATCTTCGCAAATACAGGAATCACTATAAAGGCAGGAGCCCGAGTGCTTGGTTCAGTTATAGGAACAGAATTTGAATGTAAAAAATTCCTCGAATTTCAACAGAATGAGCAAATCAAAATTTTGAAAAAACTAACGAAAATCGCTAGAACCTCCCCTTAAAACGTTTATGCCTGCTATACTAAAGGAGTTCAAGAAAAGCTTTCATTTCTTGCCAAGACAACGCCTAACACTATGGAAAATTTTGAAATATGTGAAAATATTATCAAAGAACAATTATTACCTAACCTAGTCGGTAAAGACACTTTAAACCCCCAGTTCCGTGAGATATCTTCCTTACCCCTTAAAATGGGCGGACTTAACATCAAGCTGCCATCCGATCATAACGAAACATCACTAGTACTGGAATCTCAAGGTCCTATTACAGCAGTAACACAGCAAGAAAAAATATGTACGAAAATCAAAAAATTGAAAACTGATAGAACAAATCGAAAAAAAACCTCATTAACTCCTTAAATGAAACAGATAAATATGCAATCGACCTGGCCTCTGAAAAGGAAGCCTCTAACTGCCTCAATGCTTTACCACTGAGCAGATACAACTTCAACCTTGATAAATCAGAATTCAGAGATGGTATTTACTCAAGATACGGATGGGAACCAACCAAAACCCCACTCACATGTGCATGTGGTGCTAATTTTAACTTGACACATGCGCTTCACTGTGCAAAGGGTGGTTACACACACATAAGACACAATGACATTAGAGAGACATTCGCCAACCTCATGAACGAGGTTTGCCATGACGTCGAGATTGAGCCGAAACTTCAGCCGTTGCAAGGCGAAAGCTTTGTCAACAATTCAACTACAACTGAAGATGAGGCACGACTTGACATTAAGGCAAACGGACTCTGGGGTTCACGATTCAGCCGCGCTTTCTTTGATGTGAAAATTTTCAACCCCCATGCCAAAACATCGCGAAAACTGCATAAGGATGCATACAAATACCACGAAACGCTGATGAACTCCAAATATCAGTAAAGAATTTTAAACGTAGAGCATAGTAGCTTCTGACCGCTAATTTTTGGATGCACCGGTGGCGCTGCTCCAACAGCCACGCGGACGATGCAGCGATTAGCCGAAAAAGTAAGTGAAAAGAGACAAGAAAGCTATCCAGAATCTATAAACTACATAAGAACTAAAATAAGCTTCGCGCTCCTGAGGAGCTCTATACTTTGTATAAGGGGGTGCAGATCGCTACGCAAATATCAATTTATCGACAAATCCATAAGCGCTATTGTAGAGGAAGGACGGCGAAGATAAATTAACATTACGACGATGAATTTAATGGTGATTTATGACTTCATTGCTGATGTATATGCATTTTTATATCGCTGGTATGGCCCTATCCAGCTTGTGCACTTACCGTAACTAAACGGAAGGGCCCCTTTTGTAATTTAGTTTTTTTATGTACTGTAAGTTGTCATTGCAAGATAACATCATCCTTAAAAAAGTTGACCTAAATGCACCATAAGTTTATAGCCTGATGTTTTACGGTCAAAGTAAACAAGGCCAACAACAAAATTGATCTAACGCACCTTCAGCAAAAAATGCGAAATTGTTTTTGGTGCAAACTTGTACTCGGCAAGAAATAGTGGGGACAGGCAGTAACTAGGCCACTGCAACTTGTCATCAAGGTTTATTTTAATGTAAGTTCTGAAAAAATCAGGCCCTATGGTGGGTGTGTGGAAAGAAGCCAAATGACAAATATTTGAAACAGACTATTCGTTGGTTATGAAACTATTTGAGACAATGGTTTTGATATACTGAAGGCCATATACTGACCCCACGATGGTCTTCCTGTCTAGAAACATAAGATCGGTCTGTCTTCGAGTACTGGCAACGATGTACTTCACTGGTGTCAGGACAACAGTCTCTGCTGGGCCGACTCGTTTGTGAGAATAAAACACACAAGAGTAAATGATCTATTAAATTGAACTCTAAGTGGTATGAGCTGGATGGTTTCGTTCTCAAAAGTCGCCAAATCACCTTTTCAAAGGATGTGAAAGAGACTGCAGAAGACTCATTTTCCTACCATCGCCCGAAAGAGGTCACGATCAGCATCCAAAGCCCAATAATTACCATGAAACAAGGTTAAAAATGGACCGATGCGGCAAAAACAATCCACAAGCTGCCCCGGAAACGTGTGGTAGGGGGGATTAATCTGCCATGGATGAAAGGCCGGGAACAGGAATGTGAAGCCTTCCGTTCCGACATCGGCCATACAGTGAGGGAAACAAGAGAAATCATGCAGCTAAGGAAAGGAAGACAATCAACATTGCAGCAAGAGAACGGTCAAAAGGTGCCGGTCGAAAGGAAGCAACAAAGACGATGGGAAAAGATTTGGGACGAGATCATAGAAGAAGCAGGAAATGCCAGTGAAAGGAGCGACTGGGTGAAGAGGTACAAGACACTCAGAAAAATGAGCCTGCGGGACGAAAAACGAACCGCCCGAGCAAAAATTCTCTGCAGAGGAGTTCAAGAGGGAGCCCGATGTCATATTGGCAGCTGAAATCCTCGTGAAATAGTACTCAGTAGAATAAATACTGAGAGAACTGAAAGAAATTAGAGATGACGATGCGGGCAAAGACCTAACCATGGATATGATCAGAAAATGTGATTATGAAATCCAGATAGAAATGGGATCTGTGAAACACATGTCCGAACAGAACCGGTCCAATGAGAGGACAGCAGAATCCAGCTGTTGGAGGTCCCCTCATGGTCTCCGTTAAGGATGCGCAACCTCGCCGGACCTTTTCAATGTATATCATATATTTTCCATACAAATAACTACGCGTAGAAAAGAAAAATCAAATGAACCTATCGGTACCCTTTGGCAATGGATTCCAGGGAGTTGACCACCCCGCAAGACACCAACAAAGCGAGCGGCAACTTGGCAATAAAAGAAATTAGACTAACAGAAATTTGATTTGCCGATGATCCAACTCTGGTTGGAAAACCAAAACAAATCTAATGGAGCAGGTATAGTGACGGTAACACTGGCGCGGATTCAAGAATTTTGTCACCCCAATAAAGAAGAACTCATCCAAATAGGGGACAAATGACTTAAGAATCCTCGGCTCCTTTGCCGATCGGGAAAACAGATCTGACTATACGCGTGTAACGAAGTGGTTCAAAAAATTTTGTCTCACAAAAGCGAACAACCATTGTTTTCCAAGCATGCGTTGAATCGACGATGCTGTTTGATGCAGCCGTACGCCCTTGGTTTGAGTCAGAATTAAACAGATTACAAGGCGAAGTCAGGCCAAAATGCTGACATCGTAGATTCCATGACTCAAGACCGCAAGAAATACCTGAAGTTCGTACAAGACAGGACAAAAAAATAAGCTTGTGGGAACGGGAGGATTTCGAAAGGAACCAGGAGATTGATGGAGAAATCAAGGGTGTAGAAGAAGATGCAAGAACATAACCCCCTCGAACTCCACCTACCAGAATGCATAGAATTGGCAGAGACGAGAAGCAAAAAAGGGAATCTGCAACAAAATGGTAGCCAAAAAGGCAGCAAAGACAAACCACGCCAAGAAATGCAATGTGCAACAGCCAGCAGCAGTAAACACACGAGGGGACAGAAAGGACTGCCCAATCTGCTCTAAGTTGATAATAATAATCATAATAATACAGAATGTAGGGCAAACGCCCAAGGGATTTTAGTCCCGAGTTTCAGTTTTGCCAAAGATCATTTGAGTTTGTATTGATTTCGACAGTTTGGACAGAGACATAACAGTCTCCAGGAGCAAATATCGTCGAGATGAAATTTTGATTCGAAGTAACTGTTATATAATTCGTTCTTTTGTTTTTTGGATGATTTATTTCGTCTAAATTTAGGCCTATTTTTTACCAATAGCGTTTGCAAGGAATACTTCTCTGGACTAGAAAGCGCTATCTTGCTTTGTTTTTGTCATTGTTCTTTTTTTATATACTTTCAACTCGCTAGCTCGTGTATTTTGCGCTGTTTCACTTATTTCGACAAACCGTTTCCTCTCGATGTTGAATCTGCTTTTGATTATGTCACTAAAAACAAGATGTACGTGCATTTCGTGGTAAAGTGATAAGGGTAGAAGCAACAATCTTTTGAGTCATTCTTTATATCACAATCGCTTAGTTCCCAGTATCCACTTTGTAGCAGTTTCTTAAGCCTTCTAAGATCCACCTTGATTGCTTTCCACAGAATGGCACCATATGATTTTACTGCAACTATGTAACTCCGAAAT